GGGTCTGCTTCTCCCTCTGACCCTCCCCCCTCTCATGCTCTCTCTATCTCAGTCTCTCTCTCAAATAAATAAATAAAATCTTAAAAAAAAAAAAATTAAAATACACAGATTAGTTGAGCATATCTCATTTCCCACCATAAGAGGTCCCTTCTCCTCCATGGCTTATAGGAGTCCAAGATTGATCTCCTTGACCGGAAGGAGGACGTGAAGAAAAAACTAAAGAAGGCCTTCTGTGAGCCAGGGAATGTGGAGAACAATGGAGTTCTGTCTTTCATCAAGCATGTCCTCTTTCCCCTCAAGTCCGGTAAGATACTCGATTGCTTCTCAGAGGCCAGGCGGAAGGAGCAAAACTAGTACTAGGATCATTCTTGTGGTTGGTCAGAAGTCTTCCTTTAGAGATGGGCTTCCCTGATTCTGTGCTCTGACTTCTCATATACCGGGGTACACTTGCACTTGGGATGTCATTTCGTTGCCCATGAGATTGTCACCAGGTTGGGTTCTAAGTGGGGTGTCAGGGTGGGCGGGTGTTGTAGAAATGAGGGTGGGCACAGGCATGCCAAATTAGAGCAATGAGAAAGAAATGTAAGGCACGATCCTTCCCCTTGAGTGTGGATGCCAGCTGGGTTTCTAGCTCATCTGATTTAAGATAAATGCCATATAATAAAGTTTAAAATATAACAGAGGGGCGCTGGGTGGCTCAGTCATTAAGCGTCTGCCTTCGGCTCAGGTCATGATCCCAGGGTCCTGGGATCAAGCCCCGCATCTGGCTCCCCGCTCTGCGGGAAGCCTGCTTCTCCCTCTCCCACTCCCCCTGCTTGTGTTCCCCCTCTCGCTGTGTCTGTCTGTCAAATAAATAAATAAAATCTTTAAAAATAAATAAATAAAATATATAACAGAAACTACAAACATCCGTACCATTTGAGCTAGGAATGCTGACTCTGCCATTATCAATGACTTTGTTGGCATGGATCCTTTTGTCTTACAGAGTTTGTGATCCTTCGAGATGAGAAATGGGGTGGAAACAAAACCTATACCGCTTACTTGGACCTGGAAAAGGACTTTGCTGATGAGGTAATCCCAAAGGAGGAGTAATCCCCACCGAATTCCTTCTGACAGACCTCTCCTTCTTGGCCTAGCCAGAAGTTTCTGCTTGATGATCTCCAGGGCCATGTATTGTGGGTAATGGCTTAATGAGGGTTCAGGTGGTTCACGGGTTAGGCAAGCAAATGGCAGCTGAAGTATTGGTGTCCTAATCACCCTGCAAAGGATTTAACCTGGAATGAAGAACCAAACCCAGCAAGATGAAGCATTTCAGGGAGAGGGGCAAAGTCAAGGTTCAAAAAAGAAACACCTCAGAAAGGACAGCATAGAGGATCCTGCTGATCTCAACAGACAGCTTAAGAGAAGAATTACTAGGTGCCTGTGAGTTAGGCACCATGGTAGGAGCTGGCATTACAGAGGATTAAATCCTCATGAAGCTCGTGGTCCGGAAGGAGAGGCGGACGTGTAAACAAGTGTCATTGCTGTGTGGCTATATGATGATGATGTATACACGGCCCAGAGATCAAAGAGGAGGAAGTCATTACCTGGCTGGCTGGCAAAGCTTTGCAGAGGGGACAACATCCAAACAGAGGGAATAAATTGTGCACAGACATGGGCAGATGAAATAGCACAGTATGGAATCGCAAGTGGTTTGGTCTGACATGAGTCTAAAAGGTGAGGCGGAGTGTTGTGGGTGAGCTAGGCAGGGCCAGATCATAAAGTGAAGATGTGGTGGTGGTGGGTATGGGGAAGGAAATGGGGGCTTTTGATTGACTCTGACTCTCGGTTAAATCAGCAGTGTGATTGGGCTGTCAGAATGTTCATGAAGTCTTGCTATGTAAGGCATCAGAAATGTGGAGTCTGGAACCAGGGAGCCGATAGTCCATTCATTTCTCCACTGTTGTGAGTACATTTGGGCTTGTTCATTCAGCCCTGGACTCAAATTTTATGAGGTTTATTGGACAGTCTGGGCTGTGTTGATGGGGAGAGGAAGGGGGCTGTGATAAGGAACAGACCCAAGCCCATGTCACAGAAGCACAGTTGAAAGAACTGGGGATGTTTGGCTGGGAATCAGGCCTGCGTTCAGTCCTCCTCAGATACCTGACAGACTCTCGCGGGGGAGGGGTTGGATTTCTTCCTGTGGCCCCAGAGGGCTAAGCCAGGTGTGCGCGGGTGGGGCCCGCAGTGGGGCGTGTTCAGGTTCAACATCAGGGAGAGCCGCGCAGTGACCTTGGTTGGATGGCAGCGGGCCGGGCTGCCTCACTTGACCTTTCGCCCCCATCGCTGAGGTGTTCAGGCAGAGGCCAGAAGTCCACTGCAGGCAACCTGGTGTGAGGGTTTGAACGTCACATAGCGGAAAAGTCTCCATGACCTCTGAGCTCTGCAGCCCGTAAGGCCCGTTTTTTGGACGTTTCGCAGCCGTCGCTCTGAACCCCTCTATCTGCAGTCTGAGGCAGGCCACAGGACCCACACGGCACTCCTCAGCCCCGTGAACAGCCAAGGTTGGAATAACGAGAAGGATAGAAGAAAGCGCCTGAAGAGCCTGGAGCAGCACTAGCCAAGGGCACGTTCTGTGACTGCGGACACGTTCCGGACGTGCTGTGTCGCGCGGCTGCTGCCGGCCGCGTGCGGTCAGCCCCTCCGTGCGCACCATGCAACTGAGGAACCGGACGCACTTTACACTTAAGTGGCCACACGGGGCTAGCGGCTACCGTGCTGGACAGAGCAGGTCTAAAGCTTTTCTATTATTGAAAATTAAACATTCCTAAGGAGATGAAAGAATATCAGAAACAAAAATGGAGGCGTTGTTGTATTACAGGTATTCACAGCTAAGAGATAACCCCTCAGAACATCTAGCAGAGCCTTGCAGGGGCCAGATTTGGATGTGAAAGTACTAGTCACAGGACACAGGAAGAGAAATTGAATTGCTGAGCTCCTGCCACGTACTAGCCTCGCTCACCATATTCACCCACATTATGTGATTGAATCCTCATTCTGACTCTGAAGTATAGGCATTGTCTCCAGTTCTTAAGTAAAGCATCCCAAACTTAGAGGGGTTAAGTGCCTGGTCCGGGTCACACAGCTAGCTGGGACTCTAACCCCGGTCTGTCTAACTCCAATGCCCTCGCTCTTTCTTCTCGCTCACTCAGCTCCCCGCCAGGCTGTCTCCTCAGGTTGCCTCTGTGAGTGTTTCTCTGCCTGTAAATGGACCCTGGTTCATGCCATTACTCGAAGCATGAATGGAGGGACTAGAAGAATTTGATTAATAAAAACATTCAGCCTCAAAAAAAAAACTTCAGCCTCTAAAATCCCTCAAGTTATTGCAGCTCAGGTCATGATCTCAGGGTCATAAGATGGAGCCCCACATTGGGCTCCACACTGGGCATGGAGCCTGCTTAAGATTCCCTCTCTCCTTCTCCCTCTGCCCCCCACCCCTGCGTGCACTCTCTCTCTCAAATAAATAAGTAAATAAGATAAAATCCCTCAAGTTAGTATGGAATTCAGAGTCAAAAGACCTAAATCTCAGACAAGAAAAATAATCTTTCTGAACCTATGTCCCCCTCTTGGCTTTGTCAGCTTGACAGGGCTGTTCTGAGGATCAACAGCCTACACTTTACACACACGTTATCTTTAGTAGACTCAGACGTGCCGTGCCCCACTCCGGTGCCTCCTTTCACCGGGCCTTTGTACACTTCCACAGGTTGTACACCCTGGAGACCTGAAGAATTCTGTTGAGGTCGCCCTGAACAAGTTGCTGGATCCTATCCGGGAAAAGTTTAATACTCCTGCACTGAAGAAATTGACCAGCGCTGCCTACCCAGAGCCCTCCAAGCAGAGTAAGGCCAGCCAGGGAGGAGCAGGGCCATGGGCTGTATGACATCATCAGGACAGAGAGCCTGTCGGTGGGCTTCAGAAAAGGCTCTGTCTTAAATCGAGAGCCCGAGAAGCCAGGGGATCTGAAGTGCAAGAATATCCTACCCCGTCAACTCCTGGAATGGAACTTGCGTCATCTTGATTTAGGTTTAGGCGATACTGTGATTACATCCTGTTGTCCCAAGCCTACTGGTGTGAGACATGCACTGTGATCCTTGCCTAAATCTTTCAATTAAGAGAGCAGTTGGGTTAGACCATGAGGGTAACACAGCTACTCAGGCAGAGCCTGCACAGCTCCTTAGGGAAGCTCGTCTTGAGCTTCGCCTAATTCCTTTCCATATGCTTCTGACTGGCTCTTAGTTGGCCATCCACTTATCCATGACGCTGAGATATTAATATGGATGGTTTTGTGTGACCTTCCCCGACTCAATAAATGTATGTGGAGAGCACGAATAGAAACAGCTAAACATAGCAAAGCTACTACTGTTGTCCCCCCCCCCCCCTTCCCTCCCCACCAGCTAATAACTGAGGGAGAGAATAGATGAAAATCTGGCATGTCACTTCTCAAAGGCTGCTGCTCCTGTTTTAAAGAAGATATAACTAGGGGCACGTGGCTGGCTCATTCGGTAGAGCCTACAACTCTTGAGCTCAGGGTCATGAGTTTGAGTCCCATATTAGGCGTAGAGATGACTTTAAAAAGAAAAAAGAAGATATAACTAAAGGGGTAGATTCTGGGGATTCCGCACGATACCCTGCTAGTGTCCCCAGTGGGTGGTGTCAGCAGTTGACCTATCATGGCGAAGGAGGAGAGTTCTGATCCCCTAGGGTTCTTCTCATTCACAGAGCCATTTGCCAAAGGCCCTGCCAAGAATTCAGAACCAGAGGAAGTCATCCCGTCCCGGCTGGATATCCGTGTGGGCAAAGTCATTAGTGTGGACAAGGTACTCGTTTTTCACCACATCCCAGAGAGGCAGATAGGGGTCACGTTTGTCTGTTTCCATCTGGAGGAAACCTGGCCTGGGAAGGGAAGTAACATCCCTGAGGTCATATTGCAAGTCAGAACACAGGTGCCTAATCCCAGGTGTCAGGCTTTTCCCTTCGCTGCCTCTGAACCTTCCGCCACCAGACAGCCGGGAACTCAGGGTGGGGGGAGGATATTAGTCAGAGGGAGCCTGCTCATCAGTTAAATCCGGTCCCATAGATTCCTCTGGTCTCTACCAGCTCAGCTGGACTTAGCTGCAGGCCTTATCTTGGATCAGCCACTGTGTCGCCCTGTCCCATCCTACCCACCCACCCCTGAAAATGGGGAAGCGAGAGGGACTTCCTTTTTCCCAGAGACGGAAGGTTATGTAACCAGTGACCTGGGACCATTGTTGTGGACTTTTTTTCTCTCCCGGCATTGTTTTTCACTGCATAGACCCGACTACGAAACAACTTTGAGGTTAGCTGCTGGTGCTCTTTGACATGACGAGGCCAGCCCTGCCCTCCCCCCAACCTCGGGGCTGGTGCAGCGTGTGGCCATAATGATGGCCACCCAGACCCGTCCGGGCCTCTTGACCTCTGGGGGAGACTCCTTGCCCCGCCTTTTACTGACAGCCTGCCTCTTGGCGGACAGTAAAATGTACCCTCCCGGCCCATTCTGTCTGCTCTCTGAGGCCTGGAAAGAGTTTGCTCCAGAGGGCCCCCTAGGAGCCTATGCTGGGGAGTAGGATGCCCGCTCCGGCAGTCCGAGGGCTCGCCGGGCCCCGTCCGTGATCCGTTGCTCTGTGGTACTAACCTCTCTTGCCGGCAGCACCCCGACGCAGACAGCCTGTATGTGGAGAAGGTTGATGTGGGGGAGGCTGAGCCGCGGACTGTGGTGAGCGGCCTGGTGCAGTTTGTGCCCAAGGAGGAGCTGCAGGACCGGCTGGTGGTGGTGCTGTGCAATCTGAAACCCCAGAAGATGAGAGGCGTCGAGTCCCAAGGCATGCTTCTGTGCGCTTCTACGTGAGTGAGAACTGGGGGCGGGGCCGGGGCGGGGGAATCGGCCCACGGGATGCCCTGCCACGAGCCGGGTGGAAACCCTAAGGACACTGTCCAAAAGATGGTACATGAAGGAATTAGTTGTTGGGCAAGTACTGTGAAGGAAGCGCTTTACCTAAAGGTAGTTTTATTAAGACAGAAATTGAAGGCTCCGAGCAGTATGCACATGCTCGAGTCTCTCTACCAGTAGGAGATGGAGCCAGGAGTCAAACCTAATTCTCACTGGCCGTTCGGGCCTTGCTGTCTCTGTTATGTCCTACTTCCTCCCCTGAAAGCCCAGAGTTTGGTATCTCTCCCGACAGACGGTTTCAGGGTAGCCGTAGTCAACCCAACCCTGGTAACATCCAGAAACATGGTGCAGCACTGAGGGCCCCTCCGTAAAGGTCCTGATGCCTTGGCTTCCACGGCAGCTGGAGGCAGGCCACAGCCTCATGCTTTCCTCGTCCTGTGTGTCTTCTCAGAGAGGGGGTAGACCGCAAGGTTGAGCCTCTGGACCCTCCTGCAGGCTCTGCTCCCGGTGAGCGAGTGTTCGTGAAGGGCTATGAGAAGGGCCAACCAGATGAAGAGCTCAAGCCCAAGAAGAAAGTCTTTGAGAAGTTGCAGGTAAGTAGCTGGCCATGCCTCGTCCCCTCTCTTGCCTGGGCTGCCTGGACTGGGTCCCCAGACTGCTGTGTTACTGGGTCCACCACTGCCGTC